CCATTTAGTTACATCCCATACTGGTTTAGTAAGGTCTTTTACTTCCCCCGAACCATTCTAGGGGAATGGCTCTGTGGATCTGGAGTGGAGATGGGGGAGCTGCTGTTAATCCTCAGCTTTCCAGCTGTGCAAGTGAAAGGTCATAGAATCACAGAACACCCTGAGCTGGAAAGGATCCACAAAGATCATGAGGTCCAACTCCTGTCCTGCACAGCCCCAAGAATCTCACCCTGTGCCAGAGAGTTTGTCCAAGTGCTTCCTGACTTCTGGCAGCCTTGAGGCTGTGACCACTGGCCTGGGGAGCTGTTCCAGGTGAGTGTGTGTAAGATGGGATGGGTTTGGAACTGCACTCTGAAGTGGGGCAGCTTCTCCCAACTTGTGCCTGTGTAGGGATGGGGAGAAGTGATAGGGCTTGGGGCAGAGGGGGGAAACGTTTTCCCGAGCTACAAGATACCAAAATGAGCATTACAAATACCTTAGAAGGTTTTTCTTTGAACTCTTGGAGGTTTGTGGTTTTTCTCATGGTATAACCAGTTCATTTGCTGTTGGCAAGAACTGAAGATGTCTGGCACTTGCATGGGGTAGGTGGTCGAACTTTCCCTTGTCAGATTGAACTTTAAAACCTGTTTCAAACTAAACATTGCTTTTTTTCCTGCTCTTTGCTTAACCTTCTGCAGCTGGTCATCAGCCTTTGGCCTCAGCATCCTACTCCCCTCCCACCATCCCCTGCTGTCATCTCAGCTCTGCTTGAGCACAGACACCCAGTGGGGAAACTGCTTTGGGCTCAAGCAAGGCTGTTCTCTTAACAATCTGCATTCACATCTTAAAATCCAGAAGGCTGGAGGTGCAAGGACAGGTAAGAGAGAGAGATTCCACTGATCTTTCATGGTTGATCAATTCTTTGTAATAGATCCTGTTCCCTTGTAGGAGCCTATGGATTTTAGTTGCTGCCAGAGTGTTTTCTTATTGCTCTCTTTGAGTTGATCCTCCCATCCCAGCTCTCACGGAGGCTGATTTCAGAAGTGTCATGCTTGACTTCTGTCCCCAACCTGCAGCAATGCTTTGTGGGGTGGAGAGCAATTCATAAGGTCAGGATGTCCTGAGTAATTGCTGCTTTCTTGCCTGGCTGTAAAAGAGCACTGCTGGATTGTTTTACACTCTGGTTTTGGGGTGTGAAAGCTTCTCAAGAGCCTAAGTCAGTCTCAGATTGGCTTGGGCTACTTCACACTTGCTGATCAATCTAGCACAGGGTGTGGGGACATTCACACCAGCACAGGTAGCCCTGGTGGGCTGGTTGGGGTGAGTGCTGGGGGTCTGCAGGCCCAGTTAGCTGCCCTTTCCTGCAGCCTTGAGGAGCAGTGGGCTGGGAACAGCCTGTGCTGGCTGGAGCCCAGCTGTGTCCCACCAGCAGCCCGGGGATGGGGGAGTGTCTCAGTGCTTCCCCACAGCCTGCTGATTTAAAGCTGAATCAGCAACTTGATTCTTGGCTTCCTGCACTTCTCACAGGGGTGAAGCAACAAAAAGCCTTTTCTAATTCCTGCATTCTCCCTCAGCAGTAACCCCTTTCAGGCAGAGCTGTTGTGGGAATGCTTTTGGGATCGTTCCAGGGGGAAGGAGTTGACACACGGAGTGCGTGGCAGTGCTGCAGAGGAAAGGGGAGTGTTGGAGAGCTGTGGGGGGAGGAGGAGTGGATTTTGGCTCAGTGCTGTGACAAAGAGCTGGGCTAAGAAATTGGGAGAGACAAGATTGGACGTGTCAGGGGCTGGATCAGCCTTAGGGGGTGGTAAAGTTGATTTGAGGGGTTAACACCAAGTCCTGTATCTCCTCAGAATTGATGGAGTCAGGACTTTGCTGCAGAGCACAAACAGGGAGTCTTTCCCATCTGATCAGGAGAGGGTGAAGACGAGATGCTCTGCCCATTCTCATGCTTTGGTTTCTAAATGAGGGATTAGATTAGCAGCACTGTGTGTGGTGGCAGACACCTCTGGTTTGATGGAGGCAGGAGTTTGTCCTTGTGCAGGCAGGTCAGGATGTGCCTTTCCTTGGAGGTGGCTGTGGCCAGGTTGTCGTTTGGGTGGTGGGAGCAGCCCCAGGGACCTGTCAGTGCTGCTGGAGCAGGCAGAACTCCGTGTGGGGAAGCTGCTGACAGGCAGCAAAGGGCTCTGCTCCTGGCCCTGGGGCTGGGGAGCTCTGAAGTGTGCCTGGCTTGTTGCTGGCTGATTTTTTTCCTGTGGGAGTGAAAGGTTCGGAAGAGTGGAGCTTCCTGGAGTACTTTCAATTGTCTGAATAGTTTTCCTTTCCCTTGCCCTCCTGCCCTGGGTGTTGATTTTTGTTTCTCTATTTGGTTGACTTCCCTCCCCTGTCAGATTTAAATTTTTTTTTTTGTCCTTTGTGGTGTTGGGTCTCTCCTAAACCTTTCAGAAGATAATCTGTTAGTCATTACCAGCAAGAGCTGTAGCCACGGCCTGAGTGTGTCTTGTTTTGCATGTTTTCCTGCAGCCCTTGTTGCTGTGCTATCAGTGGATGCTGGAGAGGGGCCCGTGGGGCTCCACACAGTCCTGGTGCCAGATGAGGTAATTTCTGCATTAGTGGAGGAATTGGAGCACAGATGAAGTCATTGCTCAAGAGCTTGGGGAGGAGATTGTGGAAGAACTCACAAGTCTCCTTCGTCCCAGATCCCTGCTCCTGTTTTCCACCCACAGCTGCTGGCCCACCAGCACTGCAAGAACCACAGACACAGAGGTCACCAGTGCTAAATGCAGCTGGTCTCTAGTTGAGTTCCTCAGGAGGAGGCACTTGGTAGCCATGGCAGTGAGTGTGTGGGGGCAGGCAGAGACCTACCCGAGTTAGATGCACGTTTGAGAAAGTCTCCCATGGCAGGCAGGACCTGGGCAGGCTGCCAGCCCTTTCCAGCAGTTGTTTCCCAAGCTGTTGTGGCTGTGGTGTGTGGGCTTCCTCCCATGAGGCATGTGAACAAACCAGAGTCATGCAAAGGGCATCTCAGAGCCACAGTGTGCAGGATGTGCTCTGTGCTGCTGAATTGCTCAGGGCTGGCCGAGGAGGTCTTGCAGCCAGAGCTCATGGGATGGTGGGATTTAGGAGGAAATTCTTCCCTGTGAGGTGCTGAGGCACTGGCACAGGTTGCCCAGAGCAGCTGTAGCTGACCCATCCCTGGGAGTGTTCCAGGCCAGGCTGGATGGGGTTGGAGCAGTCTGGGCTGCTGGAAGTTGTCCCTGCCCAGGACATGGGGTTGGACTAGATGATCATTACGGTCCCTTCCAACCCAAACTGCTCTGTGACTCTTTGTGCTTTAGCAGATGTGGAAAGTATAAATTATCTGTGCCTTGCTGGGAGAGTTTTTGAGACCTGCTTTTGCTGGAATGTGGTGATTAACATCAGCCTGCCCTGCTCAGGTGCCAGGGACAGGCAGTGTGCAGTGTGGTGGTGTGAGCTTTGGACAGGAATAGCTGTGATGCACCAGCTATGCCATACATACTTATAAAACACCATTTTGAGGGGGGTTAAAGATGCTCAGTGCATCAAGGGACCAACTCCCCAGGACACCTCTTCCTTATCTCCTCTCTTCTCTGCCATAGCATCTCCTGCATCAGCAACTGAAGTGGTGTAAAGCTGAGGTGCCTCATGGGCAGAGACCTTCCCCTGGAGACACCTCACTGGCCAACAGGGAACACTCAGAAGTTCAAATCATCCAGTTTGGCACAAATTAGTGAGGTCTGAGCCTGCTACTTAAACGAGAGAGGGCACTCAGGGTGCTGGCAAACCACCGGGTTTGGTGTATTGCTTCTAAAAGCTGTGTGTGCTTAGGGCTGTGCCTGCCCTGCTGGTGTCTGTCTTATCCTGGAGCTACAGGCCAAAAGGGCTCCTGTCCCTCTGATAATACAAGTACACGGTTGTGCAAACAGGGACCAGAAATAATTGCCTTTCTAACCTCTAGCCAAAAAGCAACACAGTCATGTCATCTCTAATAACACGTTGTATTAAAAATGCATTACTCTTAAGTCAAGAAACAAATTTGAAATGGATAAACTAGTTGGTGAGTAATATGTACTTAAACTGTAGCAGAGTCCCTCACTTTGGGAGGGGTGAATATCTGTAGTTACCTGTTTTGTAATCATTCTGCTCCAGATTGTAAGTACTGGCTGACTCAGGCAGAAAAATGGTCCTTGCTGATGATAAGACCTTGCTGTGGAGCATTTGTGAGAGTCAGAAGAAAAATCCCTTCTGTAAAGGATTGCAGGTCATTGCTAGAATTTACCACCTGGAAAGAGACTTCTAATATCATATCTGTATTTTTATCATTTATTAAAGAGAGAAAACTGATTTTTGTATCCTATGTCCTTAGGTCTAGAACACATGTTGTATGGGGAAGGGCTGAGGGAGTTGGGTTTGTTCAGCCTGGAAAAGAGGCTCGGGGTGACCTCATGGCTCTCTGGAACTCCCTGATCTCGACAGGGGTGGAGAGAGGTGGGGGATGTGTGTCCTGCCAGGGCTGCAGGGAGAGGACTAGAGGGAATAGTCATAAATTGAGATTGGATGTTAGGAGAAATGTTTTCCCTGTGAGGGTGTTCAGGCACTGGGATATTGCCCAGGGAGGTGGTGGAGTCACCATCCCTGGAGGTGTTTAAGAGGCCTCTGGATCTGGCACTGGAGGATATGGTTTAGGATTTAGTGGTTACAGCAGTGACAGGTTAATGGTTGGACTTGATGATCTTAAAGGTCCCTCCAGCCTTGATGGTTCTATGATTCTCATTTTCATTAAGCAGGCAAAATTTCACACTTCCACATGCTTCCCTGTGCCACCTGCCTAATATGTGTATCAAGGAATTTCACAGGATGTTTCATAGTATCCTAAGGGGATGGAATGGACCCTAGAGATCATGCAGTCCCAGCCCTGTGCTGTTGGCTGAGGGCCCATGGGCTGTGGCAGCAGTCCAGGCAGTGTGTGTCAGTGCTCTCTCTCTCTCTCTGGTTGCAGGACAATGCATCTCTTCCTGCTGTGTCTCTTTGGGGCCTGGGGCCTGGCTGCCCCTGAGCACTATGCTGTGGAGGACGTCTGCACCGCAAAGCCGCGCGACATCCCGGTGAACCCCATCTGCATCTATCGCAACCCCGAGAAGAAGCTCCAGGAGGATGAGGGGCAAGAGCCAGCCAAGGACAAGATCCCAGGGTCTACCAACCCCCGGGTCTGGGAGCTGTCCAAGGCCAACTCACGCTTCGCTATCAATTTCTACAAGTACCTGGCTGACTCCAAGGACAACAAGGAAAACATCTTCATGTCACCCCTCAGCATCTCCACAGCCTTCGCCATGACCAAGCTTGGAGCCTGTGACAGCACCCTCCAGCAGCTCATGGAGGTTGGTGCTGGTTCCTCAGCCTTCTCCTGTAGCTCTCAGAGGGGCTGAAAGACAGCAGAGGTGATAGTGGCTGTGCTCTGGGTCAGGATGGCTTCCTGCCTTGGGAAGGGAATCATGGAATCACAGAATGGTTTGGGTTGGAAGGAGCCTTAAGGCTCGTGTCATTTCAACCTCCTGCCATGTACAGGGGCATCTTCCACTAGACCAGGTTGCTCTTCTCAGTTTTCCCTCTCCCCATCCCAGGTTTACAGGGGCTGTCCTGGAAGGCAGTGGTCAGAGAATCACAGAAGGGTTTGGGTTGGAAAGGACCTTAAACCTCATCTCATTCCACCTCCTGCCATAGGCAGGGACACCTGCTAGCCCAGGTTGCTCCAACCCCATCCAACCTGGCCTTTATTTATACAAATCCCTGGGAAGGGACAGAGACAGGCTGCTTGTCTCTGCATTTGTTCAGATCCCAGCTCTTTCCCCTGGCTCCCTGTTTGGATCCAGCATTCAGGGTGGATTTCCTGGGTTTGAAAGGTTAGTTTTCATCTGGAGGGAAGGAATCCCATGTGGGAGATGAGGGAAGGGAATGGGAACAGTTTGTTTTCTTGGAGATTGTCAAGCATGTAGCTAAGTCTTTCCTTCTGCAAAAAAGCAGAAAAAGCCATGGTACCAAGTCACATTCCCTCTCTCACCCCTGGGACAAAAGTCAGACCCATGGGAGACCCTGCAGTCCACCTAACTTCCAGGGCAGACAAGCCTGTACACAGGGAGTCTCTCCCTCCTGCTCTGGCTCCTAAACTCAGGGGGTAGTTCTGGTCCTGGACTGAGAGGTAATCCTGAATTCTGGCTCTTCCATGGGACCAATTAACTCCCTGCCTGTCCCAGCATCCTTCTTGCTGTCAGACCCACTCACCTCAGAGCTGTGAGTGCACTGACCTGCCATGTGGGGTTTGGTGCTGCCTGTGCCTTCCTCATCACAGGAGACCTCAGCCCAGAGGGACCTTTCTCCCTGCAACTAGGTGTGAATCAAACTACTCCACTTGTCCTCACTGCTGCTGTCCTTACAGATCCTGCCTCTGGAGCAAGTAATGTCAGGGTCTACTGACACTTTCCACACAACCTGAGCAGGACAGTAAACCACATCTCCAAAATTTTCACTTATGCCTTCCCCTCTGGACATCTCTTCCCACTGGAAGGAGCCTCTTCTTCCACTGAGCCCCCCAGACCTGCACTCCTAATCCCCTTTTTCCCTTTGTAGAGGCCACTAACACCCCCTTTGCCTCATAGGAAAAGGTGCCAGAGATCCTGGATGTTCATGAGGGGCAACATGCTGTGGGATTTTCTGTGCCTTAAAGCCCTGAGGTTGGATAGCAGTAGACAAATCTTAACTGTTCCTCCAGCTGGCAGCTGGGAGCAGATGAAAAATTCCCTTTGCTGCAAAAATCTATCCTCAAAATGATTGCTACATGTTCCCATTCCCTGCAAAAATAGATGAGATGTACCAGAATTACTTCACAGGCCATGAGAATTCCTCCTGGGAAGGAGCAGCCTTTGGCAGTGTCACAGGAGGGTTTAGCACAAACCTTGTGATTCCTCCTGTGGCCTGGTCTGACCCAAGAGCTGTTTCCTGGTGCAGTGCTTATCTCTGGGCTGTGGAAGAGGTTGTGAATGCTGTGCTAACTTTAACAGCCCAGGGGAAAGCTGAGACCTGTCAGGGTATGGAGAGCAAGGAACCTGGAGTTAGGAGGAGGAGCAGCACCTCTACATCTGAGCAGGGATTAGTCCTCTATTTGGGCTCACCAAAACGAGGTCTTGGTCTGGTGAGATGTTGTTGTTGGGTTCCAAATTACACGTGGAGGGTGAAGCTCTGAGGACCTGCAGATTTCTTAGCTGTAGAGCAGCAGGCAGAGGCTGCATCACCACTTGTGTGGGGCTCAGGAGCACGAGGATCTGCTCATGGCTTTCCTTCTGGCTGTTTGGCTCCTCCAGGTCTTCCACTTTGACACCATTTCAGAGAAGACATCAGATCAGATCCACTTCTTCTTTGCCAAGCTGAACTGTCGCTTGTACAAGAAAGCCAACAAGTCCTCAGAGCTGGTGGCAGCCAATCGCCTCTTCGGGGAGAAATCTCTGGTCTTCAACGAGACTTACCAGAACATCAGTGAAATAGTCTATGGAGCCAAACTTTGGCCATTGAACTTCAAAGTGAGTTTGAACTACTTGGGATTTTCCTTTTTTGTTGTTGTTGTTGTTTGGTTTTCCCCCCAAACCCTTCTGCTTTTGCTGCATCCCTGTCTTTTGCCCAGAGGCAATGTCCTGCTCTGGGTGTGTGGGACATGAGTGAGTGTGGGATGCAGTTCCTGTCCCAGCTCCCCTTAATCACATCCCATTTTGAGTGAGTGTGGGATGCAGTTCCTGTCTCTGCTCCCCTTACTCACATCCCACTCCTCATTGCTGAACCCCCCAGCACAAACCCTGTGAACCTGTCTCCTGGAGAAGGGCTACAAAGAGGTGTTTAAAACCCTTGGCTTAACTTTTTTGTTGGTCTCGTCCTTCAGGAGAAGCCAGAACTTTCCAGGCAGATCATTAATGAGTGGGTGGCTAATAAGACAGAGGGACGCATTACAGATGTGATCCCAGAACAAGGTATTAATGACCTCACTGTCCTGGTCCTGGTCAACACCATTTATTTTAAGGTATGGCTAACACAATTGGGGGAGCAGCTCACTTCCCTGGGGGGATGTGGTGCTCATGTTTGTCCTCTCCCTTTTTAGGGGCACTGGAAATCACAGTTCCCAGCTCCAAACACAAAACTGGATGCGTTTCATAAAGCCAATGGGGAGACCTGCAAAGTCCCAATCATGTACCAGGAGGCCAAATTCCACCACGCATTCATCCCCCAGGACAAGGTGCAGGTGCTGGAGCTGCCTTACAAAGGGGATGATATCACCATGGTGCTGGTCCTGCCCACTGTTGGGACACCACTGGAGGAGGTGGAGCGAGATCTGACGCCGGAGAAGCTGCAGGGCTGGATGGACTCCATGAAGGAGGTGTCTCTCTTTGTCTACCTCCCTCGCTTCCGTGTCGAGGACAGCTTCAGCCTCAAGGAGAAGCTGAGAAGAATGGGGCTGGAAGATCTCTTCAGCCCGGAAAACGCCAGACTCCCAGGTGAGATGTGGAGTCAGGGTGGTGCAGAGGGGAGGCCATTCCTCCACCAGGGTCAGGGCACTCAGTGCAGCAGCGTGTGAGGAACCAGAACGTGGAAGCATTTAGATGTTGCTGCAGTCAGTGATGGACTCTGAGGTCAAGTCCCACCGTGGACACACTGCCCTGCTCTGCACTGAGGGCAGTTCAGCAGTCACTTGCACTTAGTGGAGGATATCATAGAATGTTAAGGGGTTGGGATGGAGCTTAGAGATGATCCAGCCCCAACCCCTGCCCTGGGCAGGGACACCTCCCACCAGAGCAGGTTGCTCAAGGCTCATCCAACCTGGCTGTGAACACTGCCAGGGTTGGGGCAGCCACAGCCTCCCTGGGCAACCTGGGACAGTGTCTCACCACCAGAACAGGGAAAACTTCTGCCTAATATCAAATCTAAATTTCCCCTCTTTCAATTTATCCCCATTACTCCTTGTCCTGTCGCTGCAGCTCCTAACCAAGAGTCCCTCTGCAGTTTCCCTGGAGCCCCTTCAGCTCCTGGAAGGTTGCTCTGAGGTCCCCACACAACCTTCTCTTCTGTTTTTGCTTTAGGGCAGTGTGAACTCAGGCCATGAAGGATGGGAGTGTGTTCTCTCTTGAGCTGAGTTTAACCTCTCTGCATTTCATACCACAGGTATCATCGCCGAGGGCCGCACAGACCTGTACGTGTCTGAGGCTTTCCACAAAGCCTTCCTCGAGGTGAGCCTTGCTTTGCCCCAGGGCTGTCTTCCTCTTGCTTTTGAAAAACATGAAGCATTAAAGGGAAAAATAGCTCTGAACCCATCGTGACACCATTAGGTCCTTCCCCCCCTTAAGGGTGGGTTGTCACACCCCCAAGGTGTTCACTGCCTCAGTGCTCTGGGGCTCTGAGGGAGTTTGGCACCTGCTTTCTGCAGAGGAGGAGGCTGAGCCCTCTCCATGCTGCATAGTGCCTGTGTTTTAATCCCATCTCTCTTGGTTGGCAGGTGAATGAAGAAGGCAGTGAGGCAGCAGCTGCTACAGCCATCACCATCGCTGGCCGTTCCTTCCCCATGAACAGAAAGATCTTCAATGCCAACAGGCCCTTCCTGCTTTTCATCCGGGAGGCTGCCCTCAACTCCATCATCTTCATGGGCAGGATAGCTGATCCTTGCTCCTAGAGGGGCTGGTAGGGCCTCACTTCTCCCTGCTCTGCCCCGGGAGAAGGGGCAGTGGGGTACTGCCACAAAGCCCAGGCTGCTCCTGGGGTGGTTGGGCTTGCTGTTTGTTGCCAGCTGCAGGAGGGACTGTGTCCAGTGGGGCTGTCCCTGCTCCTCCCTGCTGTGTTGGGTGATGGGGCTCACAGGACACCTCACCTGCTCCATCCTCCATGCAAAGGGAAGCTGAATTTCTTCCAGCGTCGCTAACTTTGTGGCACCCAAACATGAGTCCTGCACTGCTGTCCTTCCCGTGTCCACCCTCCTCCCCTTCAGGCCTCAAACTGTAACCCTGACCCCTGGTTCATTAAAACCTGTAAATCTGTATGTAAGACTGATCTCTGAATGCACTGTTTGCACTATGCCACTTCCTAGACTTATTTAAACTTCCCTTTTCCAACAAATGGGCCTTTCCCTGCATTCCCCAGGCCTGGAAGGAGAACCCCACACTAGAGAGGTCAGTGGAACAGCAGCAGCCACAGGGCTGGTGCTGGCCGGGCCAGGAGCATCCCTGCACAGCTCTGTGTGGAACAGCTGGTGGGTGAAGAGCTGCCAAACAGCTGTGCCCTGCTTGCAGCAGCTCTGGTGTGTCCAGTGTGCCCAAATGCTGAGCGTTGTGTGGCCAAGGTTTGAATGTCTGTTCTAGTAATAAGATTTACACTAGCTCCAGGCTGGTTCCTGTAGCAGAGGTGACCGTGGACTGTGAAGTGCCCAGGTAAGGTAACCAGTGTCTCTAGCTATTCTAGACATCTGTTGTTTCACCTGCAAGTTGACTCTGGGAGCTGAGGTGTCCTGACCTGCTGCCATGTCGCACATGATCAGACCTCTGGTCCTCTGCAGGTGGCTGTGCTGCTGCAGGACCTCTGCCAGGGCTGTCCTCAAGATGCAGAAGAACATGGTGAGCTTTTTCTCTAAGGCTGCTGCGTTTCAGGCAGCTGTTGGTAACAAGTGCTGTGAGAGCACAGTCCTGTCCTCAGGAGGTGACAGAAGAGGTGTGTGCAGACAGCTCCCAGCACAGCAGTGGGTGGCACTCCCCATTTGCTCTGGGCTTTGTAGGACCAGTGAAACAGCCACTGTTGGGGCAGGAACTGCCACGGCAGCCAAGCAATGCTGGAGTTAACTTAGAGCTGGTTGGATAGATGCTTGGTCACTGGTCTCTAGTTTTGGAAGGGGTTTGCAGGACACTCTCTCCTATTCCCAGTGGGACAGTTTGAGCATCCATGTTTGTGTTGAGTGGTGTGGTTTGGCCATGGAGACTCACCTCCTCCAGTGTGTCAACGGGTCCTCTGTACACCTGAGACACCTGCAAGGCACTGTCCTTGGGCTGACATGCTTGCCTGGAGCAATACCTCAGGGACCAGCTGTGAATGTAACTCAGGGCTGGATGAAAAGGGGGAGCATTCTGGAAATAATTGCTCAAAAAGCAGCTCTTCCTCTCCTTTCCCTTCCCTGGTACTCACCACTGTGGCTTTCCTTGCTGGATCCCATCTTCTGCCTGCTGTTCTCTGGTGCAGCACTGAGCCAGCAGCAGCCAGGAAGGTTCTCCTGCTGAGCTGGCAGTGAGAGCTTGGCCTGCAGTGCCAGCACAGTGCCTTCTCCACCTGGTGGGACTGAGAAGGGCTGAGCCTGCTGAAAGGGTGAGACAAACTCATCCAAAAAGGACACAAGCCACCCAAAGTGCCAGGCACAGCAGCCTGGCACTGCCCAACCTCTCCCAAGCTGCTTAGCTTAGGGCTACCCACAGGATCTCTCCCCATGGCAAAGAGAAAACCACCCCTGGGTCAAACCAGTCAGCTACAAGACACAGACAAGGATCTGAGTATTAAACCATTTAATTCTCAAACCACTCACATGCATAATGTTCTTTTACACAGTGTTAAAAGAAAGAAGAAAATGCGATTTGTTGGGGTTTTTTGTTTTAATACAAACAGAATTTCAAGTATACATTTATAGAATTTTCCAAGATTCCTACCCAAGTTGCTAAGTTTTCATTCACATTGTTCTTAAAGCTGTCTGACGAGAGAGCTTCTTGCTGAACTGCTTTCAGTTGGACAGTCCCCTCTACCTTGGTTTTATTTCCCCCTTCCCCAACCCTGGTTCCTCTCCCCCCTGCCCTCCCCTCTCCAGCAGCACTGGCTGTCCCTGTGTGCCACAGGCACCTGCTGGAAGAGGCAAAGGGAAGTGGTGGTGGAGGACCAGCTTGGGAACAGCTTGGAAAATCACTGAAGAACAGTCTGATATCCACAAGTTAAACACAGCAGGCTCACTCTTAACCTACTGCAGACTAGTCTGAACACTGACTTGTTTGTTTTCATGAAATAAGGATTGCAACCAAAAAAATAAAATAAAATAAAAAAAAGAATAATTAGTACAGCAGGAAATTTCTTAACTGTGAAAATAAGTCTTGAGTGTTAGGACACCTGTCCTAAAGAGTTTTGTTTTATAGGTCAACAGTGGAAGATGACAGCACAATTTCTGTTACAAATGGTTACTCTGCAAACCAGCTCAGAGCAGAATCAATGTGGGACACACAAACTTGGATTGAAAAACAAAACAAAACAAAATACTGAACTGCCGAGGGCTTCACACCCAGGTGACAGAAACCCCCACCACCCCAGCACCAACCTCCCCTGGCTTTGCTGCTCAGCTCAGCTGGGCTGGGGCTGGGGGCAGCTTCTGACCTGTTCAAGTGGGGTCCAAATCTTCCTTACAGGCGAGGGTGGGTGTTCCTGACCGATTCCACAGCCTCCTGCTGGGCTGTGGGAGGTAGGGCTGCCCTGGCCCCTGGGGCTGGCAGCATTGCCCCTGGCTCTGGCTGCCCAGAGCCTCCTGCAGCACAGCTGTGGCCCAAAGCAGCCACAACTGTACAGTCTGACCAGTTAAAGTGCATTTCTGCAGTAAAGGGTATTTTTTTTAAAGTTTTTTTTCTTCTTTTTTTTTTTTTTTTCTTTTTAAGGTTTTTTTTTTTATTTTTAAAAGAGGAACCTATTTAAAGTGCTGTTCTAGTTTGGAAAGGGACTCTGGTTAGAAAAAAATGGCACCTTTTCACACGAGAGATTTGCTCTCTGTATGTGTCTGTGTAAATATATATATATAAACCTGCAGAGTAAGTTCTGCTGACTAATGAACAACGTATAAAAGTGTTTGTATTTTTATCTTATTGCTTTTTTTTTTTAAACTGCTGCCTGCTCCCTTGGAGGCAGGAGGGAGATGGATTCCCCTCCCACCTTCCCCACCATCAACTGATTTCCCAGCGCAGGAAGCTGAGCCCATGGTGTCACAGCTCTGGCCCATGGGACAGGACCCAGGAGGTGACAGAGCCACCCTGACCTGGCACAGCCCCAGAGCCACCTGCAAGGGTCACAGCAAGGAACTGGCAGCCAAGAGGGACACTGCACCCCGAGGGGCTCCCCCTGCTCCTGCCAGATGCCATTTTCCTAGAGTCACTTTACAGAGCAGACCTGCATTTCTGAAACACAGAGGTAAGGAAAACAAATCTCTTTGAAGTGAAAGCTTTGCTGCTCGAGTGTGTAGCGTGGTAACCTCAGCACTCTGAGAGAGAGAGGTAGTTAATGTCCTGTGAATCTGCTGCTGCTCAATGCAACTCCATTGCTGGAGTGATTGCTCAGAAAAAAAAAAACCAACAACCAAAACAACAAAAAAAAAAAAACATAAGGAAAAAAAAATCCTGTGCTCTTTTATTAAGTTATCCCAGTTCAGTCTTTCTGGTAAAGACATACTTGACTATTCCTTCTAAGAGGCTTTTCTATTTCAGAAATTGATTGTCAGTTTAGTTTGCTACGAAATCAAATTGGATTAGCAAATTGCTATACAAAGCCCCTTCCCTTGCTAACTCCTGTCACAACCCTCTCCCACTGCTCTGCAGGGAAGGGCCCAACCACCTGTGCCCTGTTTGGAGGTCACAGTCTGTCTGCTCCTGCAGCACTTCGTTCCTGCTCTGAGCAGTTCCAATGGAAATGTTCAAAAGAGCTACTGGTATTCTATTCACAGTGTTGTAGAGGAAAGGTGGGTGGCACCAGGGAAAGGAGGGGAGCTCTGGGGGCACAGCTCATGGGAGCTCCAGCTAGTGTTTAAGACACCAGAGGCTTGGGAAAACTGCATTCATTCCCTTTTCAGACTAAAGCAGTGCTTGAATTCCTTGCTGTGAGCTAACCTCTGACACAGCCTTCTCGTCCTTGGCTCACCCTCCCTGTCAGCACAGGGCACCAGGTGAGGAATATGCTACTGCCAGAACACACAGCTGCATGTTCTCAGCCTAACTCAGCTTTTCAAAGAGCTTATTCACAAAGGTCCCTGTTGTGCCACCAAGGAGGATTGCCCTGGCACCCCTTGGCCCGTCCTACCTGTCAGCAATGTTACATACACGAACACAAAGGAAAACATACGTGAGTTGAACCACAACTCTCCCCTCTCCCCTCACAATGTTTCTCAGGCACTCTCCCTGTGACCACGTTACCCCTGGGAGCTGTTTGGTGGCAGCTTTCTGCCCAGGCCAGTGCTTTAGGGGAGCCCAAGGGGTATGACAAAATTCTGCTCTTCGCCCACATTCCACCTGGGCTGCTTCCCCCAACAGCACAACCCTGGCTCAGGAGACCTTCTAACCCATGAGAAAAGTACCTGCATGCCACTGGCACCATCATTCCCTGCATCTCCAGCAGAGATCCAGGCTGCCTCGTGAACAGCCTCCACAAACAAACACCACCTTGACCCTGGCAGAGCTGCAGCCAACCCAGAGAGCCCCAGGGGCTGGGGACAGCCACAGCAGGGCCAGGGCTTCACTGCCCTTGCCAAAATCAAACGTGTCAGCAGGAGAATTGCACTGTCCCCTCTTGTTAGTGTCACCCACAGCCCCCACCAGGGCATGGCACCTCCCTCCCCCCACCAGCAGAGTTGTGTTCAATGACCAATGCACGTGCAAGGAAGGATTAAATAAAAGCTTCACA